CGGGGCGAAGCCCGGGTAACCAGCTAGTCATCTATATTATCATATTTATAAGTACCTGACATCTGTATGTCTGTCTGTATGTCTGTCTGACTCCGAACTATTTATTCGTCCCGGTTGAGAAATTTTTCCAATTTCTAGGGAAATATTGACCGAATCTCAAAGAATTTTATATGAAGTAGGGGTAGAATTTTACGAGGAGTGCTATAAAGTGTATAATTTTTTGTTACTGATTTTTTAGAAGCCGGTACCGAAATTTTTATAATTTTTGGGAAAATAATTGACCGAATCTTAAAGAATTATATATGAAACAGGGGTAGAAAGAACTAAAGAATATAATAGAATTTAATTTTTGAGGATAAGTTTAATTTTTTATTAATGGATAATTTTTTATTAATGGATTGATTTTCTTGAAACTGGTACCAAAATTTTTCTAATTTGTTGTTGATTTTGATGAAACTGGTACCAAAAGATTTATGGGGATGGCTACTATGAGGTTAAAAATTGGGGGTTTTATGGGGTTCTATTGGTGCTCCTAATTCATGGGTGAGTTTGGGGAGAGGAGAGTAGATTTTGAGCCCATGCGAAGCACGGACGAAAAATCTAGTTTGCAATAAATTTTAGTCTATTTATTCTACTTATCTACTTATTTGGAAAGTACTGTTATACAGCAAATTATTCAAAATGAGAAATTGTTTTGAAAAAAAGTAATTTCTAGAATTTTGTAGCATACGAGAAATCAGCGAAAAAATTGTTCTATTACATAAAAATTTCGAGAAAATAAAAGTTAGTATATCAAAGATTATGATTTTAGAGAGCAAATAGAAATATAATAATTAGCAGTTTAAAATTATATTTTTCAAATAATGTTGGAGATACGAAGTGGCTCCACTCGAACTAACGAGTCGCGATATTACCAACGCCTATCTATTCTATTTTTGATACTTATAGATCCAGTTTAGTTATTTTTCTGGCGTCGCACGGTTGACCACGTGTAATCATTGTAATCATATAGTAATCCGAATAAACTCGCGTTATATAAAACAAACTCTGATTCATTATCCGCCAACAAATAAGATACCCTAGATTTTGCTATTATATTTTTAAAAAAATTCTAAATTTTTTAAATCTAAAGTATAATATAACAAAATTATAATTTCTGAGATATACGAGATTTTTTTGTAAAAATTGTATTTTATCACAAATCTATAAAAAAATTTGATCTATTTTTGTTGTAAAAGCTTATACAATCGTTTTTTCTTTTGAAAAAGATATAAATATATTATGTATGTAAAGCTGGTATCTTATTTTGCAAAAACTCACAAATCATTATTGAGAGTTCTGGCTTCCTTTTCAATAGTGCTAGAATTCATGATAAGTTGCACAAATAGTTTCGCCAGCTTCACATACATAATATATTTATGTTTTTTTCAGAAGAAAAAAGAAGAATGTATAAGCTTTTACTATGAAAATAGATCAAATTTACATAGGTGGTTGGCAGATTTTTTATAGTTCTGTGTGTTATAAAACAGATCTACTGTAGTTTTGATTTTACTTAAGCATTTCATGCCACATTCTGATAACAAGCATTATTTTTTAAATTAAGTAATTTTTATACTCCAAAAAGATGGGACACTGGTCAATTTATGACAATTCTGTTTGTTGTAAAATTGTTGTGACCTTATGTAGATATTTTATGTAGTGTTCTGACAAGAAAACTAGTTTCTATATTTTTTAAACAATTGTTATTATTCAAAAAAGATATAGGTGAGATACTGGCCGATTTTCGTCAATATTTGTGTTGTGAAATAATTCTGACCTTATTTAGGTATTTTATGCAGAGTATGTTCTGACGAGAAACATTATTTTCTTAAAGAATTTTTTTATTTTCAAGAGTTCTGTGTGTTCTACTAATAGAGTTTCCGTGTGATTTTGAATGTATTTAACTATTTTATAAAATTAATTCTGGATATAAATATTTTTTATTTTGTAAATAATATTATTCGATAAAAGCATTGTTACAAACATGGAAGTAAGACACTGGTTGATATTGGATAGTTTTGTGTATTACATAATTCTGCTGTAGTTTTTAGTAGATAGAGCTATCTCAAGTCTGTCAGTAATTTATCTCATTCTTATTAGGAGACATTTAATTATTTATCAATTTTATTGCTTCCTCTTAGAGGAAGCTTTTTTTTTTTATAAACATTGTATATGGACCTTTGTGATTGCATATAAAGCTAGATCTAATCAACCAAATTTTGAAGAATTATATATGAAATAAGGATAGAAAAAACCAAAAAAAAATTTTTTTTTAGTTTTTGATGCCAATGTGTTCAGAATGTTCTAAAACGGAATATCGGAATATCGTAATTTTAAAAAAATGTCCGTGCGTTTGTACGTGCGTGTGCGTGCGTGCATGCATATGTGTGTGTGCGCCAAATTTACCGAATTTCAATAACTCAAGAACTGATTAACCAAATCTTAAAGAATTTATATGAAATAGGGATAGAAAAAACTGAAGAATATAATAGAATTAATAAAAATTGCTAATAATAAAGGGGTCACCGATTTCTATCTAAAAAAATCTATATGATTACTCTAATTTTTACAAATTTTGAGATATTGAACTTAAATTTTTTGTATGGATAGAGTATCATTAAAGGTAGGTTGGTGTCGAATTTGGCAATGATCGGTGAAGGGGTTACCGATTTTTGCCTAAAAAGTGTACAAGTTATACATGTAATCTTACATATAAAGTATCATTAAAGGAAGGTTGTTTTGAATTTGGCGAGAACCAGTGAAGGGATTACCGATTTCTGCTTAAAAAATGTATAAGATATACATGTAATTTTATATAGAGTATTATTAAAGAAAGGTTGTTTTGAATTTTGCGAGGATTGGTGAAAGCGTTACCGATTTCTGCTTAAAAAATGTGTAAGTTATTTGATGGATAGAATATCATTTAAGGAAAATATTGAATTTGGTGAAGATCGGTGGAGTTATCAATTTCTGCTTAAAAAGTTACATGTATAAGTTATACATGTAATTTTATATAGAATATCATTAAAAGAAGGTTGGTATTGAATTTGACGATAATCGGTAAAAAGGTTCTTTATAAAATTTTGAATTTTTTGAGAAATGTTTGTGGTTGCTCTAACTTCCGCCAATTTTGAGATGTTGGACTATTTATAATTCTATTATATTCTTCAGTCTTTTCTACCTCTATTTTATACAATATAATTCTTTAAGATTTGGTTGATTAGATCTAGCTGTATACGCGAACAAGGTTCATAAGCAAAGTACATATATGGACCATGTAGCCTGAACTCCCAAAGTCAACATAAATTTGACATTACGTCAATTGTAAAACCCCACTTGTGCTATTAATTGTAAGTTGATCCTTTTTTAATTCATAAAAAGGTTAAATTTAAAGTTAAAAAAAGTGTGCAAATTAGAAACTTGTACATTGCTTCCTCATCATTACAGATCTCTACTATTGCTCCTATTTTATTTTGCTCGTAAACTTTTCTCTATGAGGAAGCCAAACTAATAAATACTAATAATTATGCATCAAATAAAATACAAGCTTCCTCATAGAGGAGCTTTATGAGTAAAATAAAATAGGAGCAATGGTAGTGATCTGTGATGATGAGGAAGCAATGTGCAAGTTTCTAATTTGCACATTTTTTTGTCGCTTCTTTTTTATGAATAATATGAATAGGAGTTTGATCAGAAATTAATAAATATTTGTTTAGAATTTTATAAAAATAATTATTATTATTTGTCTGACGCACACATATGAAAACTAGAAGCATGAGAATTATGCCCAATGATGTAAGCACGTAAGTTTATAGTGACTACTTCAGTGTCAACTATTACACTCTCGTGTTGATCGCATAGAGAAGTGTATGTACACGTATTTGCAATATCGTGTATACTCTAGTCGCATAGATATCGCAGAACCGTATAATGTTGTGAGTGACATGTTGTGATTTGTGGCTTAAATTTCATACTTATTAATTGTTGATAGTTGACACTTATATACAGTGTGCGTTGTAATTGTTGTCAATGTTGTGATTAATGATGATATTTTTGGATATGTCAACAATTGTAATTTCTGGATATATTGATGTAGGTATAGTAATGGGATTAAGAGACGTTGAATTACTTGGAACAGGTACGAATACGATAAAATTTCGAATTATTTAATATTATTATTATGAATAAAGTTGTTGAAAGTGTTGAAAATCGTGAAAATTAATATTTGAAAATTTTTTATTTAGTGTTATAGAAAGCACAGATATTAATATATTTTTAATAACATATACGTATTCCTCATATATGCATACGCCTCGCATATTTTTAATAACACACCTGCTATATTTATTTAAAAATTTACAAATGTAATTTTATATACAACTGTTATATTAATCGTTTAGTAGGTATATTTATTTTATCTCGTTTCTCCAAGAACGTTTACCAAAAGCAACCGTTTATTTATTTATAAAACAAGTAATAGATTGATAGCTAGTACTTGAAACTTATATTACACACGCTTATATAAACAGAAATGAAAATTCTTTTAGGTATTGAAAAATACTCGAAAAAAATATTTTGATGAGTTGAAATGGTAACAATTTTATGCTGCCATATAACGTTAGTACCATATAATTTTTTTTTAAACTGAAAATGTTATTTATAAAAAGAAAGACAGATTTTATATATAAGTTTTCTAAGCTTAAATAAAATTTCATTTTTATACATAACTAGCTTGATATCCATGCTTCGCTATGGTATGTGAAGATTCTATAATTTCCCCGAATCTAGATTTACTCCTTTAGGGCAAAATCATGAATTATGTTTTTAAGCATTTATACGGGTAATTTTTGTAAGCAAAAACCAAGTCGATATCGGGCCTAAGAGATATTGAGGAATCCGTGAAAACACATTTTACCCCTTTTGCTAAAAAAATTAAGAAAAAAAAAGATAATAAGACTCGATGTTGACTAGTATTAACGATGTTCGAGTCGTACAATCGTAGACAAAAGTGATTGAAATTAAAAACTCCGGAATATCTTTGTTCAAAACTCATCGAAAGGCTTGAAAATGTATCAGATGGTAGCCAGGGCCAAAAATGATCATCTGGAAAAGTATTTTTGATTGCTGAGCCATTTTTTTGGCTGAATTTGCGAATATTCTATTTTTCTTTGGCTAACTTTTGGAAGTGAAAATGCTCTGCATATGTAACTTTAGAAAAAAAAAAAAAATACGTTGGCAAGCCTCGCGTAAAATAACCTAACCATTTACTGATTATCAAAGCAGAATTTGACAGTTCAGGTTATGTAGTTGTTGGTTGTGTTATTTATTTTATCACCTTTTACGATGCCGTTCAATCAAAATGTGTATATCTAATAATGATTTTAAGGGAATATTTTAGTTTATCCTCGGATGAGATAATGTTTTTAAAAAACCTTAAAGGTTAACTCGATACTCACAGAATGTGAAGAAATGATAGAGAATATGAAGCGAGAGACTGAGATAGAGAGATCAGTTGTTTGCGACGTTGCCGCTCTTACGCCAATGCTTGATTGATACTTCTTGAGAATAGCCGAATTTCGTGATGCTTTAATTAATTTCTCGAAAACAAACGTCCTAAAAGTTCTGAAATTTTAATAAGTTTTTCTTTGATTAATATACTATACCCTTAAAAAAAATTGATCAAGGTCTACAACATGGTTATTAGTGTATTTAACTGGTTTATTCAAAAGAATGTAGTTTCCCATAAGAACACGTGTTAAATTAAAATCGCGATATTGAGCGTCCTAATTAATTTCAAATTTTTATGGAAGCTGTAGGAAGTCTTAAAAGAACATGCTCATCGATGTTAATCAATTTCTGATATTTTTTTAATTCTCAGGGATCGGACTCGATCATCCTTAAGAACTAGTGCTAAGAACTTTGTTTAATGCTTGGCTACATTCTAACATCAAGAGATACGGTAGTGTCTCGCGCCAAGTACACGTGCAGCGCGAGACACTATCGTACATTTATGCGAACGCACGAGTTTTTAGTATGTCCTAAATACATGATTTTTTTATACGGTTGCATTTTCTGACGTAAGAGTTTGCTGGCGCCCAGCAGATGCATTGAGAGCGTAAAGGGGAGTTTACACACGCAATGATTAGTGGCGCCAATCGACTAACGCCAGTAAAAATACAAGTGTAAACTTGATACAAACTGGCGCTAGTAATGTGGCGTTTACTGGCGATTATTGGCCAAAGCATATAACCTCAAAATTTGAGGTTATATGCTTGCTGTCATTTACTGTGTGTTTAATAAATGTTAAATATTTTTCATATTACACGCCAATCACTGTGTAAACACTTGTGAGTTTGTCAGTCGGTTGCTGGCGCCAATGAATGCCAGTCAGTTGGCGTCACTAATTATTGCGTGTGTAGTGTGTAGCGACTGAGAGAGTGAGGGAGCGAGAAAGTGATAGAATGAGTGAGACAATGAGAGTGAATTGAGAGAGTGAGCAAGCGAGAGAGTGTACGGTGTATATTTGTATATTATTTATTACGCAGACGTATGAGTTTTTAATATATGTATGTACGTGTGCGCTTAGCGCTTAACGCACAACGCACTCAGTAGTTATAACCTAGAAATGAATAGTGACAGTCGTGACAGATGTCCAATAGTGATAGTGATCAATAACATACATTGACCGCAGGAAGCTGACGCCGAGGCGATCTTTAAGAAGGAAGGTATATCCAAAGTTGCACACGTACGTACATATATATGCTGTCTTGTAAAAGTTAAAGAGAACGAGAAAGTGATCTGTAGCGCAATTCGTATTATAGGCAAATTATGCTAAAATATTAGTTGAATCAAGTCTATTATTATGATAGACGTTGATTTTATACCTTGATGTCTGGAAATATTAATTATTCACGAAATTAGCAATAATAAAATAAATTTTGGTAAATATGTAGTATAACAGCACCCTCTCCGATTTCTTTGAAATTTTCAAATTTTGTGTAGTAAAAAAGATTCTTTGTTTGTTTCTGTAAACTAAACTATCTTTATTGCTTATTCCTGCAGGGTTTGCAAGGCGTTTTTTCTTAGGAACGTTACCCAAACCTCCACAATGCTACCCTTCTCCTCTCACTTTAACCCTTTGGACCAAAGGTTTAACGTCTCTTCCGAAAGACGGAGCCCAGTTTCCAGGGGGCAGCGTTTTTCTTGAGAAAATTCTTGAGAAAATTCTCAGTGGCCTATCGGGATTCGAACCCGGCTATTGCAACTTGCTCCAAATTACAAATCTGGCGCTCTACTCACTAGACCAGCCGTCTCCTCTTGTTTGTTTCTATAATTAATATTTAAAATATTATGATGTTAGTAAGTAAAGGCCGGTTTTTACACGCAATGATTAGTGGCGCCAACTGACTGGAATTCATTGGCGCCAGAACCGACTAGCAAACTCACAAGTATTTACACAGTGATTGGCGTATAATATGGAAAATACTTAACATTTATTAAACACACAGTAAATGATAGCAAGCATATAATCTCAAATTTTGAGGTTATATGGTTTGGCCAATAACCGCCAGTAAACGCCACATTACTAGCGCCAGTTTGTATCAAGTGTTTACAAGTTTTTACTGGCGTTAGTCGACTGGCATGGATTGGCGTCACTAATCATTGCGTGTGAAAACCGGCCTTAAGGAAATGATAATTGAAACGATAATTTAGGGATATGTATTTCGCGTCTTACTTTAATTAGATCGTACTGTAAGAGAAATACGCGACGTCTTAAAAAATTCAAAGCCGAACTACTTCTGACTCGAATTTAGCCACACGCGTTGCCCCTAGCGACGTGTTCCTTTTTATTAATCGCACGCTCGCGATAGTTGGATAAGTCGATTAAAGGCGCGCGAACGCATATCTCGGGATCTTGCTTTCTACAGTACTATGCTATTTACAACTTCAACATAGTATCTGATTGATATATTATATTTAACTAGCATGCCCCGCGGCTTCGCTCGCGACCTCATATGCATGGCTTTCATACGCGTAGCTTTTGTTATTTTGCTATTTAGTCTCTACTCAAAAAGAATAAATACCGGGTCAAAAAATAACATCATAGGAAGATTCGGTCAATTATTTCCCGAAAGCGACTTTCGAAATAAATACCGGGTCAAAAAATAACATCACAGGAAGATTCGGTCAATTATTTCCCGAAAAATTGAAAAAAAGATCGGTAACGAAAAACTGTACACTCTATAACACTTCCCGGAAAATTCTACTCCTATTTTATATACTTTTGGTAAAAATTTGGTCAAATGGTTTTCGAGATCATAGCAAACAAAAAAAAGGCTACAAACTCTGTCTCTTTATTACAATATAGTAAAGATAGTATAGAAAAATTTCATAACCGATTTCCGAAAAGATATTGATTCCCAAAAAGATCGGTAACGAAAAACTATACAGTTTACAGCACTCCCCGGGAAATTTTACCCCTGTTTTATATACAATTCTTTAAAATTCGGTCATTTCTCTAAAAATTAGAAAAGTTAAAAAAAACCGGTTTCCAGAAAATCGGTAACAAAAAACTACACTCTATAACACTCCCCGGAAAATTCTACCCTTATTTCATATACTTTTAGTAAAAATTTGGCCCATTGGTTTTCGAGATCATAGGGAACAAAAAAAAAGCTACAAACTCTGTTGCTTTATAATAATAGTATAGATATAGGTAGAACAAATTAATAATAGTTCTTGCTTGCAGTTAAAGGTATGTGATTGGTAATGCGAATAGGTGGCCTAAATATTCGAAAAAATGTTTTGGGATAAAAATTTAAAGGATCGCAATTAAAACAGACAACAGTTTGTGGTTTCAGTTAAAAAAAAGCAGAGAATACTCTGTATTTATGCTTTCTACTATTTTCTGCTTTAACAAAGATTATAATTTTTAAATATATAATTGAATGAAGTTGTAAATAACATACGATCTAATAATAAGAAGCGAAATATATATCCATAAATTATTATTTCTTTACTTACCGACATTGTGATATTTTAAATATTAATTATAAACAAACGGAATAAGTGATAATTTTCTTTTTGAGGATCTTTTTTACAAAATACACAAAATTTGAAAATTATTAATTTTCAAATAAGTAGTAATTTATTTTTGACAAACTATAATTATTTTAATAATATTTAAAAAATTTATTTCTACTAATTACCAATTTGAAAAAAAAGTTAATTTATTTTTACCTAAATACTATACTTATTTTGACGTAACTAGAAATTTTTTTTTTACGAATTACTAATTTTTTAAATAATGCGTAATTCACTTTTATCTAAATATTATTAATTTTTGCGTAATTAGTAATTTTTTGTTACATTACTAATTTGCTAATTCAATAAAAATTGAATTTGTTGTTATTGCTAATTTTGTGAGTAATTAAAAAATAAAAAATGAAAATTTTTTGTCGATTCCTGCTTTATACTACAAAACGCGTGATATCAGTACAAAATTACTTTTTTCAAAAAAGGTAAAAAAGGCGCCAAAATCCAACCTAATGGTAGTAGCTTTACTTTTCCTTAACAAAATTATTATATCACAATATTACCTAATTTAACCTAAGTTATATGTATTTCAAAGAAAGATGTGAAATCTTTAAATTGCGCCAATTGCAAAGAGAATATATATATTGTTTTGAAAAATAATTGTTGTGCAACTACTTTTAAAAAATAAAACCCAAGTGGTACATATCTTTGTGTTCCCATTCAAGGGTCTTCCTATTCCAACCCAAGTGGTAATAGATTCTTAATTCTCCTTAACAAAATTATAATATTACAAAGAACTATTTTAATCACAAATAATTAAACAGGTAACAGTATAAAATAAAAATGTTTAATCAAAATAAAATAAATTTTTCTTGTAAAAAACTTGGTTGCTTGTAAAAACTTGTAAAAAAAGTAGTTACACAATTATTTTTCAAAACAATATATATATTCTCTTTGAAATTGGCGCAGTTTAAAGATTTTTCATATCTTTCTTTGAAATACATGTCACTTGGGTTGAATTAGGTTTGGTTTACATGAAGCTTCCATTTCATTTCTTCTACCTCTACGATGTAGTTGTGTTCGGTACCGATTCGCTTATAATTATTGCCGGGACCCACTTTTTACTTTCTAGGCGATGATCACATACCATACATTTTTGTCCGATTTGAAAAACGCTTCTCTTTCCTCCGTGATTTTTTTTGTCTTGTTCGCGCTTAACTTCTTCCAATGGACTTGGTCTTAGCAGTGAGAAACGGTTTTGTATATCTTGGCCTAGTAGGAGTTTAGCCTGCGTCACTCCCGTTTTAGGCGACTTTTGGTGATCGTTTGGTATGGTTTGGTACATATACCAAAGTTGCTATCGGTAGTTGCTATTAGTTCTGGTGCAGTTTGCTACCCTTTGGTTCCTTATACCAGAGTCACGCAAAAAATCGCCATTTATGCGGCGTGGTATGATAGTCTATCAAGAATAAGTTTACTGCATAGTCGAGGGTATGCCCGCTTTTCACGATGCGCTTTATGTGTGATTTGAAGGTGACAAAACGTTCGGCTGCACCGTTGGTGGCCGACAAGTGCGGTGGTGTAAAATTGTCTCGCGCCAATTGTTATGCAAAAATTTTTGAATTTTTTGCTCGTAAAAGCAGTGCCGTTGTCGGTCACCAGGTGGATTGGATAGCCGAAAGTTGAGAACAAGAATTTTATTTTGGTGATCGCTGTCTCGGATGACAGATTATTTACTATGGAGACTTCGGGCTATTTTCGTTCGTCTTCGTTCTTGGTTAACGCTCGACTCCCCGTGTCTCGCGCGATCGGTTAGGTCGTGCCGCTCGCTTCGGAATCGACCTTTTGTCCACAAACAATAATAACACCGAATACCGAAGATGTAACGGTCGTATATTGGATGGACTATTTTGATCCCTACACTACTTTATTTTCTAAAATACAAAAAATTGATATTTTGATTGTTTCAAATAAATCCTTTCTTTGAACTTTGTTGCAGCATCAACGCAAGTAGTACTGACGGTGCAGCAGAAACCAGTGACGTCGAGCAACGCGGCAGCAGTAGCAGCGATAGCAACAGTGACCACAGCAACAACAACCTCTGGTCTGCAAGTCGGGGTAGTCGGCGCTACGAGTCAGCAGCATCAACGTCCGGTCAGTCTGTCGGCGGCCGGAAACATGTCTCCCTCGCAACCAACGACCTCTCTTCATCGAGCGTCCACCGCACCGGCGGGCGGTGCTCCGTGTAACACTCGAATTACGGGCCCGCAACCAGTTGACGTAAATATAAAGTGTAAAATGTATTAATTGTTCTTTGTTTTTCTGCGCTTCTGCTTCTTATGCAGCAAGATCAGGAATGAAACCAAAGCGTAGGCGATTAGGAGCGTGTACAAATATTTTAATTCACATAAGAACCGCATGATTTAGAAATTAATATTTAATAAATATTAGTTATTTTTATATTAAACGTGATAGAATTGAAAATAATAACATAGTAACAAATACATATACAAAATTACAAGTTTCTAGATTTTTTTGTTTATGAGAAAAAAATCACAAAAATTGTTTTTTTCATTTTTGAGTGAATCCCTTAAACTTTAAATGTAGAATATATCTATATTCCATATTTTTTGGAAATTTATTTTTCAAAATGACTGTGCTATTTACTATTATTTCTAAGAATTCTATAATTTTTTAATAACAAAATTAAAACTTATTTAAAGATAAATTAAACTATGTATAAAAGTTCTAAAATTCTCAAAAGCAATAGTGTGCGGATAGTGGACATATTTAAAAAAATATATAATTTATATTTTTCCCTTCTTATATATTTTTGCAACACGGAAAATACTTGCATGTGAAACTACTCGACTTGAATGTCAAAAAGATCCAACTAAAAAATAATTTTTAATCATTGCAATTTGCAGTGCGTGTAACTTATTTTTTTTCGAAAATACCGCTTATTTGAAGAAGTGGCGTTGGAAAAAATTTTCTAGTTACTATCGTTGGCTGATAATATTTTTTACAGGATTTTTTGAGCTGGTCTTTTTTACGAAGAGCAGACTGAGATAATCTCTACAACTAATTATCTGAAAAAATTCTTTTTTGAAAATTATGGATAAGAATGTTTTAAAGTAATTAGAATTTAACTCGTTATAAAAGAAAGTGATTTTATCAAAAAAGCAGCCAACTGTTTGCTGTATATACTTCTAAAGAAAGGCTAATCTACAATGTGCTCTTTGCTTTCTGTTTTCTGCTCTTTGCTTGTTGCTTCTCTGCCTTCTTACGCACTATTTTACCGACAATCGACAGAATTTGTCACTAGGTGCGTTTGGGGAGGGGGGGGGTTTGAAAGTTTCCTCCGGGTGAGGGAGATTACGGTGCCTTATACCCGATTGGGTAAACTGACACAAAATTAAGCCCAAAATAAACAACTCAAAACTTGATACACAACATACCTTATATAACTTTGCCGATCTTTTTTAAAAATTTAAAAACTATATATATTATATTCCAATCTTTTCTCTTAATAAGATAATTGTGTGTATTTATCTTCGCAACATATCCCTCCGTTCTGAGTTCTTCATCTATATTCACCCTCAAATCATATCTACTACATCGTTACAAAATGTGATCCAAATTCTCACGCTCGTAGCCACATTTGCACCTTTCTTCATCCACATAGCCTTTTCTCTTTAAGGAAACTCCGAGGTTGTAATGGTTGGCTTTCAATCTATTGATAAGAGTCACGAAATATCTCTCAGCGTTAATTTTACAGAACCAAGGTCTCAGTGCCTGTTTGTCGTAGAAATTCTCAAAATAGAAGATACCCTTATATTCGGAATCTCTGATTGGTGATTCCTGAGTAGAGTCCCATGTCTCTTTCCTGGCATATGCCATCAGGTCCCCGACGGGCACCTCGATTCCAGAGTCACCCTTCTCACGCGCAGCCTCCTTAGCAAGACTATCGGTTATTTCATTCCCAGCGATACCAACGTGAGCCGGGATCCAGACGAGTACGACTTTTCTATCGTAGTTTCTCTTCAAACTATACAGATGAAGTCTAGCCTCCGTAATGTAGCGATTCTTATGTACATTTAAATGATTGTTGCGTATAGCCTCAAGAGCCGACTTACAGTCAGACAAAATCATAATATGTCTGTTTCTGTGGTCCCTCTGAAGGACCATCAATTCCAAAGAGGACTTAATGGCGAGCGCCTCAGCGGTGAAGGATGAGCACACTTTAGGAAGCCTTTTATATGCGATTTCTTGGTCACTAATAACGATACTACCGCCAGTAGCGCAATTTGACTCATTATATGACCCTCTGTAAAAATAATCTCCGACGAAGGTCTTACGTCATATTTAAAAATTACATCACGGATGAGTACCTCGTCAGAGTACTTGTTATTAGTCTTTCTAAATTCTTCAATTGAGTTGTCAACCACAGCCTTGTATGTGTGTGCATTGAAAGACCCTTGAAAAATTTCGAATTTTCTAGGTTGACCTATTCCTACTCTGAATGGGATGTATTTCTTCCAAACAAGAGACAGTAGGGACAATTTTTACGTTGGCTGACGATAAAGGGCAAAGTTTCCTCTTTCGTAGAGTCGTTGCAGCTTGTGACACAAGCCAATGTCGTTGTATGCAATAGTCTTGCCGACGAAATTCCTAGCAAGCATCTCGGCCCGATCTCTAATCAGTCTCACTTTGGCTTCCGCAACGATAACATTAGGGTGCTGTTTTTGTGTCCCAAAGCCGTGCGAATACCCATATATTGAGTTCTTTCCAGCTTGAGCTGATAAGCACTTTCCCTGGGATAATATACAAAATTGCCGTACGCAGTTATAGATCTCACCAGACTCTTGTACACGATAAGAGCCGTGTTAACCTTTATGCCCTTCGAAACCTTACATAAATATTTCAAAACGGAATTTGCTCTATTAACCTTTCCTCTCACTTCTTGAACCTGGCGATAAAACTTGAGGCCGTTATCCAGCCAGATTCCAAGGAATTTTCCCTCCCTGATGTTGAATACTACACAATTCTGAACCTGCATACTCAGAGTTCTGTCCAAGCCGCCGCATTTTGAGAATTCCACAAGAACCGTCTTTTTCGGTTCAACATCCAGACCGATCTTACTCAATTTTTCGGCGATCTGATTAACTGCACGTTGAAGGAGAAGCCGATTACGCCGCCGATTAGGGCCGGATACATAAAGTTCAATGTCATCAGCAAACTCTATGGCTTTCACACCCTCTGGTAAATCAGAACACAGACCTTCAGTGAATAGAGAATAATTGCTGGACTCAGAACGGCACCCTGCGGGAGCCTTTTGAAGACGACGATCAACAAATTCTCGTGAATTGTACCGTTCTCAGGTAAAGCCATTTATTGATAAATTTACGTATACCTGTAGGGCAATTGAGTGCCTTCAATTTGTCCACCATGATGCGGTACGCCACGTTATCGTACGCTGACGAAACGTCCAAAAAAGCCGCCAAAGTATATTCACCTACGCACATAGATGCCCGGATGTCTGAAGTACGTTTGACCAAACGGGAGCAACGTGGCTTTAATATCTTCATCCACCAAGACGCGAAACTGTGACCAGATCGTTTTTTTTTTTTTTTTTGGGTTTATAACTTTTCTGTAGATCTGCTCCTGATAATCAAATGAAAAAGAAATAGGGTAGTGATCGCTGCCCCAAGTTTTCTCCAGCTGCTGACAGTCAATTCTATTTATGACACCTTCGGTTCCAAATAATAGATCCAGGTTGGAATCCCGCTGACCACGAAAGCCCACTCTGGACTTCGTGTCGACATTGACACAAAAAAATTTGGTAATTATGCAGTATAGGGGAAGCACCTCCGATGACCTTGACCTTGACATATGTTGTCAAGGTCACCTTCCTGAGTGACCTTCAGAAGGTTTTAGCCGTCGCTCGCTATTCGTTAAAAAGTTATTAACAAAAAAAGTTTGGAAAATATAGCAGTTATTTTGAGTATTAGAAGGCATAAATAACTAATATATACGTGTGTGTGTGCCCTGCTTTAAAGAAAATCACAACTTCTATAACTTTATATGCTTTACCAAACACAACATTTAAACCAGTAAATTGTTGATAAATTGAAGTCTTTTTGTTAAAGCAGAGAATACTTTATTTTGCGAAAAAGTCGCTGCTTTACCAAAACACAACATTTAAAGCAGTAAATCGTTGATCACTAACCTACATAGGTTAGTTGACGCGCTTTAAAAGTATTTAAGTGTTTAAAGCTCGTCAACTAACTTATATATGCACTTATATATACTATATTTTCCAAACTTTTTTTGTTAATAACTTTTTAACGAATAGCGAGCGATGGCTAAAACCTTCTGAAGGTCACTCGGGGTCATGACCTTGACAACATATATCAAGGTCATTAAAATCGGCGAGGTCGCCAAACTTATTTTTGTTAATAACTTTTTAATAAAAAACGAGCGACGGCTAAAACCTTCTGAAGGTCACTCAGGAGGGTGACCTTGACAACATATGTCAAGGTCAAGGTCATCGGAGGTGCTTCCCCTATACTGCATAATTACCAAAAATTTTTTATTGTTCATAGTATTGAACAATATCTCACCATTACCATTGGTAAAATCACAATTTTAAACAGTATTATGGGCGTTCAGGTCACCCAGGATAATGGTGTCCTCGCTGTTTCCAGCCAAATCGCACAAAGACCGGAGATCCCGCGGGACGATAGATTCCTGTAAATGTCTGTATACCACTATAATGTTCAAGTTGCGGTTAAAATTTTTTGTTCTGATACCCACTGTATCATAACCAAAAGGAAGGATGTTAGTGTTACGCATCATTTCAAACTCAATGTGAGACCGAATCGACACCGTAACTCCGCCGCTTCTTAGCAGATTTTGGCTGTGCAGAGTTTTGTATCCTGAAAAGTAGACTCGGTTATTGCCAGAACATTTGGTTTCTGTGAGGACAATGATATCATAGTCCAATATATGCTTGGAGAGCTCGTTTTGCTTTTATAGCCACGACAATTCCAGAATAAAAGCTTGAAATTTAATACAAAGAGAGGTGTGTGAGACCTCATTACTTCTTATCTCGGGAAAGCCCCTTAAAGAATCGTTAAACCTATCATCCATATTACGTCTCTCCATTCCCTTCTCTTCGCGGACTCTTGATACGCTTCTCCTATAATCTTTAGTATCACTAGATGTATCGAAAGAGACTTACCCTTTGTCCGACCGTAGTCATTCGTACCGTCAATAGCGTTTAATAAAATATCCCGGGCCTCCGAGATTCTTTGTAACAATTGCAAAATTCTAGCGATCGCCTCCCTGACGAGAATCCAGTCGTTAGATCGCGCAGAATTAGTGCGAGCGGAGCTCGGCTCTTCACCCGCCTCGTCCGCAATAGCCCCGTCACTCATAGCCCGTGACCAAGCGGCCCCGTTTCGGGCAGCGGACACGAGAATACCTCTTTTTTCCTTCAAGATTTCGCCAGCACGCAAATCAGACTGTTTATAATAATCGCGACTGGATCTACATATCTGACTCGCCCCTTAAGACCAACACCGTTGGTAAAAATTTTTAAATCACAGGTACTCTCGTCCTTTAGGGTAATAATGATATTATCCGTCCCCAATAAGACCGATTTCTTATCCATATTATCCCACTTACGTCGGTACATATGTTCAAGCTTGATAATGTTAGATCTATCCTGACGTACCGACCATAGCTCAGGACGCGACGAGAGCCACGCCGATATAACGCCTTTACAAATGACCGAGCATTGTTCTAATAAAGCTTTCACGTTTTTTGGATCCGGAAGCTTTTCAATTTTATTCAAGGCATTTGTAGCGTCAATATACGTCTTAAAAACTGGCTCAGCCGAAAAATGGTTTGTCATAACGACCGATATTGGACAAGTTTGGTGGTTCCGAGAGAACCATCCATATTTTAATTAACGTCTTATCTTTTTTGGTAGAGGTCTGATCGGGAGGGAGCTTCAAAGCGATTTTTGCTTTACCTCGGAAATCCTCGTCGAACCTAACAAATTGCTGGGTTTCTAGCGGGGTCGCATGTTGAAAATTTTTTCAACTCAGTACCACATACAACATAAATTTACCTGTCAGGGAGCGTATCGGGCGGACTGTTATTCACGCCGGCATCACGTGATCCACTTCGGCTCGCCGTTTTTTCATTATTACTACGTTGATTCGTCGCACAGGCAACGTCGTCAATATTATCCTTACTACTGCTCAGGGACGCTTGGTTTATCAAAAGTTCATGGCTCTGAGCATCTTTACTATTATCGGCATGTCCTACGTCCACTTCCATATCCTCGGGGTAGGATCACCTGCGTTGAAGACTACATTACGTCTTCTATTCACTTTTTCGTCCCTCTGTTTTTTAGAGGAGTGATGTCTTCGGTTTCTTGCTAGGTTCCAATCCGTCTCCGAAGTATTCTTTTCTTTCTTAAGGTCTTTGGTGATTGCTTCAAACTCTTGTTCAGAGATACTACGTCTCATTTTCTTATTTGACGTGTTATGTATCTTATCGTCAGAGGTGTGAGGGCTATCACACACGAACTGCGTGTTACTTCGTTCCGCCATATTCAAGGTTCTGATGGCGATAAATAATCGTTCCCCCTCCGAGAGGGGGGCAGGCAAAATTATTATTTATGAACACCCCCCCGGATCGACACACTACTATGCGCACGACCAAAAAGAACAATGCTCAAAACAAGATAAGCCAAGCGCACAAGACACACTTCCGTCTCGTATGGCGACTCACGCCGAACCTCGTGCGTTCGGGGAGACGCTATTACACGGAAAAAATTTCGGGGCAGTTGCTGACGCAATTGCGATTGTTGCAGCGCAAACCGCAGATGAGTTTCGCGTTCACGATTAGAAACAAATGCTTTCTTTTTTTGGGACAGCTACTCTCCCAAACTGCGACGACTGCGATCTGAAACCGTTGGTAATGCAGTTGGTAATTTGCATTACCAACGTTTTCAGATCGCAGTCGTCGCAAGTTTGGGAGAGCAGCTGTCCCAAAAAAAGAAAGCATTTGTTTCTAATCGTGAACGCGAAACTCATCTGCGGTTTGCGCTGCAACAATCGCAAAATTTTTTCCGTGTAGGGTTATAAACGCAAACGCAGAACGCTTACCAACACTGTTTATAGAGCCAATAGCGTGATAGCGATAGTGAGCTCTATGAACTGCACTAGCGTAACGTTAATTGAGGTTATATGGCGATGTTCCTTGGCTCCATTCAACTTCATGTGACAAAAATACAAGAAACAAAGAACAAAAGACAAAACACAAAACAAGAACCAAAGAGCATATTGTAGATCAGGCTTTTAAGGCTACGTAACATTATTATACGTATTAGAGATAGACCCTATAATCAGAGACTGGCCATCAGGCGATTTCTTCAAAATCCTGCGAGAGAAAAGGATATAAGGAAGAAAGAGAAAGCGATATACATTCATATTGCTTTCTCTTTCTTTCATATATCTCTTTCTCTTTCTTTCTCTTGTTTTTGAAGAAAAATGACCAATCAAAAGTAGCCTCTTTATAGATAAATAAAGGTCTCTCATAGAGCACCGAATAATGAGGATGTTGCAAGTTGTAGCATTTTAGTAACTTCGAGTATCTAATCTAAGCGTGCAAAATTTTTCATTTCCTGCTGTGTTGTTGTGTAATAGTGTCATTTATTATAAACTTCTTTTTTTTATTGCGTACCAAATGGCGATTAGTAACAAAATTTTTAACGCTGAAAAGTTATATACAAAATTATCTTTTATCGAATTGTATTACCGAATGTGTAATTAAAAAGATGATAAGTAATTCTGGTTGAGTCTCAAAAACATTGCTCTTATTTTTTCAGCTCGAGAAGAAGCGTCAGCTAGAAACGCAGAGAGTTCATACATTTCAGCTTATGTTGGAAAAGGAACAAAGTTATGTAGACAAATTACGGAGCGAGTTGGCAAAAGCTGGTACCGGTAGTGGCAACACCAATGTCACGGCCGTGCAAGCAGAGCTGGCGGGTGCTGAGAGAAGAGTACGCACCTTGCAGGAACAGCTTGCAGCGATTAGCACAACGAACGAACAGGTCTGCATATTTATCCTTTTTCTATATATTTCTTTGTACACTACATTTTTTTAAATAATTGATCTGGTACATACATTATCAGAACCTTTTATTTATCACCTAACACATCTGAGAATTTAAGTATATGAAACCAAACTATAGTTCGAAATTGAGGAAGAAATTTAAACTTTTAAATTAAATAATTCTAATAAACTATTTATAGATAACATGTGCTTACTAAAAGATTATATATAATATATATCATATGTTATATCTAATAACAATAATTTATATTGTTAAAGGGGTATTCTATTTTGTTAGGTCGGATGTCTTTCAAGAATTTTTTTTCGAGAAAAGTATTGAAGCAATTAAGATGTAATTTTTTTATAACTGTTTATTGATTTTTGTGATATTTTTTGTTATTGCAATAGATTGTACGTAGATAGTTTTAAAGAAAAGAACCACAGAAAGTGCATTTTTACTTTGTGGTACTTGATAAATTGATCGCCAATTAAATTAAATGCGGATAGTAATCTATAATTAATGTAGATCAAGAAATTAATCTTGTTAGAAATAGAAATGTTTTTCTACTTCAGCAAGTAATTAATTTGCATTTTTGCACAGCTTTATATGATCTGGGTAATTATGCCTATTAACATCGCACTCGCCAATGACCTTGACCTTGACATATGTTGTCAAGGTCACCCTCCTCAGTGACCTTCAGAAGGTTTTAGCCGGCGGTCGTTATTCGTTAAAAAGTTATTAACAAAAAAGTTTGAAAAATATAGCAGCTCGTTTGAGTCGTGGAAGGCATAAATGACTAATATATATGTCGAAATAGTTCACGCATCACGCATACACTTTCCACGCGAAACGAGGTGCCACATGGGTTCGTGGCGTGGTTTACAAGCTCGTTTATATATATACATAATGAAACATTATATATTCTCTATTAATTTTTTGAATACACATATTTTGTCATCTAATAATATAGAAAATGGGTCTCCTTCAAATCTTTTCACATAGATGATCGACTAACTTATCTTGTTTAAGGGGGGAACCTCGTGTAAACAGCACTTTTTTAAAGATTTTATTACAAAAAAGTGGGAGTAATTGAATTCAAATAAAATACATTGTAATATTTAAGTTTAAATGTACAAGAAAAAATTTTTTTGTTGTAAAAAAAAAACAAAATAGCAACGCTACAGCTACTTGAAGTTGGCTCTTCGAGTTTGCGCCGGACAACGCTCAGGTCCTTGTAATTATCTGAAATCAACGAATTAAATTTTTTTCATTGAAATAAATTATTTTGTACTTCATGAACCTAAACTTAGCAAAAAAAACAAAAAAATGAAAAATTGGGGACATTTAAAAAAATATATATAATTTTTTGTTTCAAAAAAATTGTTAAAAACAATATTTATTATCATAATTTTAATATATTTTTAGGTTCATGAAGTACACGATACATATACAAATATCTATACAAAATTTCAAGTTAATCGGCCATTAACTTTTTGAGTTATATTGTCCGGCGCGAAAAAAAAGCGTTTTGAGAAAAACGCGTTTGAAGATAGTGACTTATATAGTGACTTATATTTACCTAAGCTTAATCTGCGATGCCAGGGCCGTAAAATAATCCTTTCTCTTCTAGAAAAACATCTAATTGTGCTGCATTTTCCTCTTTTCGAGCAGTCCTGGCCTCTTTTGTCGCTTTTTGTAATCGTTGATCTTGTCTCTTTACTCGATTCTTATCATAAGTATCAGGGTCTTAGGGACCTTTAGGATTTGATTTAGGCTTTGAAACTTTGGAAATATATTCTTCAGATGGTACATGAATTTTTCAAGCCATAAAAAAAAAATGCAACAAAAAAAAATTTTTACACGAGGCTCCCCCCTTAATACCACCTCTACTTAAACGAGCTCGTAAAGCACGCCACGAATTCGTGACAACTCGTCTTGCGTGAAAAGTGTAAACACAGAACATAAACACAGTCTTTTGAAGAAATACAATCTTCCGACATATTTAGTTTTGGTGTAGACGCTGAAAGGCCATCATGTTTTTACATGATTTTCTACATTTAATTTTGATGATGAATCGTTTCAAATGTTGAAACACGTATTATGTCGAACACTGCGAGAAGAAAAAGCGACGAGTTGTTTGTACGTTTGGAAAAAGTGCTTTAGCTGGCACTTGGTTTTCTCACGGACGTCTTTCCCACAGCAGTACCTCGATTTGGCATTGAGGAAAAACATTACATTCACTACTTGAAATTTAAAAAAAAAAATTACTTTTAACGAAAGAATTGATGCTTTCTTTCGTATTCTGTGTAGAATGTATCCGCTGTAAAATTAATACACACAATAAACACTAATTAATTACGAGCACTATCTAATTCATTATGTATATATATAAACGAGCTTGTAAAGTACGCCACGAACCCATGTGGCACCTCGTTTCGCGTGGAAAGTGTATGCGTGAACTATTTCGACATATATATATTAATCATTTATGCCTTCCAATACTCGTCCGTTTTGCGCAGGTCTCCGTCCATAGAACATCTATTAAGGTGGTTCATGCAGTACTTGCAAGTCAAATAGGCAACTATTTTTATTAGTGATAAATAAGTGTAATTTTTGTCCGTAAAAATCAGCATATAATTAGATTTATTATTTATGACATCTTTAATGTTATACGACCTCTACGTAATTAAAATATTGAGACAAAAGTCACATCTTTTACTAGAGTTGTGAGCCGTGTGAATATATGTACAACAGCAGCGCGGCAACGAATAAATGATGCATGTTAAAATTATTTGGACATTTTATAACATTTTGTATTTATTCAGTATTGCAGATCTTGATGCAATCTAATTTTAATTCTTTTCAGAAATGGACGAATATTTTTATTTTACCCTTTGCTTTAGTCAGCGTCCAGAACATGGTAAACGAATGTTTTGAGATATGCGCTATACTCATCAGCTGACACATGCGACGTTGCCAAGCTGCCGCTAATGCCGCTCGAGTCCAGCCGTCAGTTCCGTGTTGTCGATTTAGTCAATCAAAAATTACGATTTATTATTATATGGTTCGGTCAATGAACTCGGGCTTCGTCCAGTATCTTGCAAAATGTTTATTGCATCGTTTCGTTAGTTTTTAGTTTGTTCATCTATTTTTGAAGTATTGTAATTTTTGCAGCATAAGCGCTTTAGCCTCGTTTTTCGCAAGAGGAGCTACTCCTCCGCGTTAAATTGGCAAAGTTTACGGACATATACGGAACTAATCGGTTAAAAAATCCGAAATTTTACAGACACACTCTAGGAACGTTAATCTTTCATTTCATATCACATTTTCCGGGTTAACTACATTTGACTTAAATGCATGAACCACTTTAACGGGTCCGTTCCGAGTTGTGCATGAAACGCATAGACTGCATTACTGTTGCGCAGCGCTTCGAAATCGTTCCGTTTTGTCAATGCGCATGAAGCGCTTTAGTAATTCAGAACGGTTGCTCTGCGCACTAATGCAAATTGAAAAAGGATGTTCTAATAAATGGCTCCTGCCTCTTGTCAGAGGTCAATACGGTACCGACGTATGGTTTACAAACTAATTAAAAATTTATTTATAATTATCTTTTCCAATCGTTTGGAAATCATTTGGAGAAATTTGGAAAAAACTTTTTAGAATTTGGAAAACCATACAATAATTGAAAATTAATTAAAATCATTTAAGTGTATAGCAGACATATTGTCTAAAACATTTTTTCTCATTTAATCGCTCCAGAATCATTTGGCTAAAGTATTGAAATATATTTTATTATTTGAAAAACTACTCTATTCTAATAAAAATTAATTAACAACTAAACGATACCGGAAATAAGTTGGTGCTTTTTTTTTAACGCGGGGAAATCTACTACTGGGATCTCAGGCCGAAGCCCGATTTGCCCGGTAGCCTCTTCAAAAGAAGGGGAAGACCCCCTCGCCTCCGGGAAAAGACGAGGGGAGTGCCGGATTTTTACCGGCTAAAACCCCGCGGGCGTCCCTCTTGGCACGTTTAAGTGAGGGGGCAGCGGGTAGCGCAATGATTTGTCCGCCGCCAAATAAGTTGGTGCTGGAGGTTTATATTTTTTAATAAACAATAGCTCCTTAATTGCTCCTTCAAAATCAAGAATTGCTCCCCTTTTCAAATTAATATTTTTTTTAAGGTGGTCTTTTCGCGGACCCAGCTAGTCAAGTAACAGTCCGTCATGAGGTAATTGAAAACAAACATATTGACAAACATTACACAACATCCCAATAATTATAATAATATAACATGATTTTACACGCACGATTTAATCATATTTAATTATTTACTAATTTAAAAAATATCACAATAGTAGTGCGGTTGGACTCGATTTAGGTTAGGTCAAGCATGACAGTACGAGTAAAGCAATATGTGATTGGATCTACTACTTATTTAACCTTATATATCAGAGCAAAACATTCGGCAAGCCCTTATTTTCAAGGTATGTACGAAATCCGGAAACTTCAGGGAATAATTTAAGACATGAATAATGTATTCATCTGATCGCTAAGTACATGTATTATTCGTTGAAAACCTCGACCGTGGCGATTTGCATCATTCTATCTTTCTCGTTCGTTAGATGTAAACAAGGATAGAATGACGATGGCACGCTCCGCGAACGCATATTTGGAATGACTTATTTCTTGTAAAGTGTCGGTAACCTCACTTGATTTTTCGTACACATGCTCCTTATTACTGTATATTTAACATATACCAAAAGGTACTTATCTAATACTTGTTCTCACGAAAGGATCACCTTAATATTTACAAAAAGCGTAAAATTTATAATTATCACTCAAAAACATATATTTCTAATAACTTTGTGCAACTAAATTCAGCATAAAATGATTGTTTCTTGATTGCTCCTTGTTGCTTCATTATTACTTTAATAATTTATTGCGTTTTTATTGAAAAATTAACAAATTAATTATTTCAAGTCACGACGCAGCCACCTATTGATGGCTGCCTATTGTAATTACCTACATATGGCTTGACAGCCAACGGCGGAAATATTTAAATGTAATATAACAACTTTATTGTTTATAACTATATCTTAAAGAGTTTAACTCTTTAACCAATATTGATTTTTAGTAGAATAATTGTTCCTCGATTGCTCTATTGGGATATTCAATCGCTCCATTTGTATAATTAATTTTGTACGATACTTTAGCGTTTTTAACGAAAACTTAACGAAAAATTAACAAATTAAAGACCGGAGCACAAACTTTTGCGTAACGCATAATGCATTCGGCCTTTAATTTGTTAATTTTTCAATAAAGTATTATACAAAATTAATTATACGAATGGAGCGAT